TACTCTCAGCGACATGAAAATTGGGTCTGGTGAATGTTTGGCCCCTTGGATCGGTCTGTCCGTTTGCAAAACGTTTTAAAATAATTGTTTGAATAACATATATAAAAATCAAGCATCAGAAAATAAGTGACCTTAATTAATTTTTTTAATAGCTTTGAAGCGTCTGTAAGGTAAAACCGCCGACCGCATGTGTCTGGGAGTAATGAATCCTGATTTTTAACGATATTGTGTGAAATATATGTTAAAATCAGCTATCAGAATTTAAGTGAAGTGAGCAGTATTTCTATGTACCTTGATTAATTGCTACCTGAAAAATGGCCGTCTGGCCAAGGTAGCAACTAGTCATATGATCATAGCACACCCCACCACTACTCACTCGTATATATTTTGTCCATCAGAAAATAAGTGACGTCTGGGAGCTCTGGGATCTTCCTCTAATATAAAGAGACCTTTATACTATTTTACTCTGATCTAACAGCTGTCAAAAAATAGTATCATAAGTAAACTTATCATTCTATACACAACATATAAGCAATAGATTATCCTTCTTAAGTTGATCGACGTTGTTAAGGTAACGGTACTTGGATGTAAAAGTGCATGAGAGTAATTTTAATTTTGTGGTGAAACCTTTTTAGTATAGAGGAGAAAGGAATAATAATTAATTGTAGTTAGGTATAATATAAACAAAGTTTTAAACTAAACAATATTAATCTTGACATAAAAAATTAGTTGTATTCTTATGATGGTATTACATATTTAAATATTTTATCAGCTTTAGCTTATTTTGACAGAAAAGTAGCGTCGTTTAGCATATATATTATATACAATATATTTATACTAGCTTAGTAGGTATATGTCATGAGTAACATAACTTAGCAATAAAGGCTTTGTTAAATTTAAGTTAGTGGAATGGAAACAATGAGCTCATTCTAAACTAGACCCAACTTCCCTAACTTTAATTTAAATTGATTTAGCAGTAAGTATTTGTTTTACGTTACTTAAGTAGTTTTTTTATAGAAACTAAGAATTTTTAATGGCAAGATTAGTTTTGAAAATTTTGGACACCAAATATTATGTCCAAATGTTTTATGATAATTCCAATATATTTACACGTAAAATATTATAAAACAATATTTTATACAATGTTGTTTTATAATATTTTACGTGTATTTGTGATACATGTCATTTTCTTTGTCTCGCTGGTTCAATAAGTCTCTGGAAGTAACGCAACTTGGAATCTGAAGAACCTTTTTAACAAGTTCGTTAAGTAGTATGCGCGAGTGGTTCTCAAACAAATCGTTACAATACTGAAAAAACCTAAGCTTCTCGGATTAATCCAGTGCCCGTATTGCTGTAATTTTTTAGAGGATTAATGGAGTTGTATATTATTATTATAAAAAAATAACAAATAACGTGTCATATTTACTATGTTTTTAAACATATGACACAGATTTTATTAATTTCATTAAAATCTTATAACATTTAAGCTTATCAAATTTGCTAAATAATTAGTGAGGTCTCTTCTTTTAGACATAATTTTATAAAAGCAGGTAGGAATATTATCAATATATAATATATGGCCAATTATTTTCTGACACACACCATTACTGGGAGTTCTATTGATATTGATGAATTAAACTTTTATACTAAAGACGACTGACCTTGTAGCGATCGTATTAAATCAGATACGTTTCTTCAACAAACTGGTCATGTACTAGTTTATTAGGTAAATTTAACAATCTGAGAAGATTAAACTCACTTTAAAAATATCAGAATCAAATTATTACTAAATTGCTATAACAATACACTGAAATGATTTTCCAAAAGTTCCACTTTAACTTTTATAAGGGCAGGCCTCTTTAATAATAGATTTAGTTCCGATTCTTTCTCTCATATCCCGGATTTAAGATTAAGATTAAAATGTGTATACATGTTTATTCCATTTACACATAACGCTTTATAAATAGTGTAGTATAATATGGTTTTATTATTTTAGGCAACAGTGCCGGAGACTACTACTTGCTAAGGAAATATAATTTAGGTATCAAATTCATTTATAAGATATAATGTATTTTACATACAAAAAATCCAAAAGGTATTCCTCATGCTGAAAGGCCAATATCGTTAACAGTATACAAAAACAGGAAATTGACAATTTACTTTATGATCAAAACTCAGAAATTTGACTTTATAATGTTAGAATGTAATAGAAACTGAAATAATGGAAAAAGAGAAATGTGAGATTATCTTTCGCCCTCTGAATTTAAACAGTGGAAAATTTATAGAAACTCTAACTTTTGTGTGTAATTTTCATTAAATATTAATAAATATTCAATCATCGTAAGAAAAATAATAAAACATGAAACAAATTTTATTTTTTAACAAATGATTAAATAATTTATTAAAGTTTCCGTCTCTGATCTTAATTAACAAGCTGTTATAGAGCGAAATACTAAAAAGAAAATATAAATCAGTCCAATACCAGGTTTTTATTGTGCTCGCTATAATTCAATTCTATATGTATATGTATTACATATTTTACTTAACATATAAAATAAAGGTAAACAATGGTAACTGCATTTTTTAAAGAACATAATATGTAGTTTTAAAATATATTCTTTAACTAGAAGACCTGGCGAACTTCGTATCGCCCTATAATCAGGAAATATCTATTACGTTTTTTTATTTATATTTTTGGAGTTTACCTGTAAGCCATAAATCTCCGTGTTTTGAACTGCGACAGAATGATTGACATATTAGTTAGTTGTCAAATCTAATGTCAAAAAAACGTTTGTATGGGAAATAGAAAAGAGCTGTTTTTATGGGTTTCCCAGTAATGAATCAATTTTTTTCAGCTTTTATATTTTCCCTGAACTTCCACGAACATTTCAAGACTAAGATAAGATAAATCCGTTCAGCTGTTCTCGAGTTTTAGCGAGACTAAGGAACAGCAATCCATTTTTATATATATAGAAGAAGAAGATAATAATTCCTGGGTTGTAAATTTTCGTTCATTACAAAGCTCTCAAATCATATTAAAGTCGAGAAAGTAATCAACAAAACAGCGCAGGCTTATTCTTAAAAGCTGAGATATAAAAACAGCGTGGGATGTGTTTAATATTGTAGTAATATCGTTGTGACAATAGAGCCTATGGCGTCGCACGCATTGATTGGCAATGAAGGTGAATTTCGTAGTATATTTTGTTTCCTTTATATTATTTATTTTGATTTACACTAAGTTACACAAATGTTTAAAGTATATTTTTGTGTCATTTTTTTTGGTTTTGAATAATCTAAGAAATTTTAAAAATATGGTATTTCAACAAGGTTATAGAGAAAATATAGAAACATATTTTGGAGCTGTAATCTTTAAAAAACTAGAATTTGAAGAAGCTCTTCCTAGAAGGTTTTTTATACAGATTTTCCAAATAGGTTAATAGTTCTAAATAAAATTCTAGAATGGATTATTGAATGAATGAATGAATTCTAGAATACACTAGCTACGAGTAGTGTCAATAATCAATATCAGAGCTTTATCATCTCTTATAAGTAGTTCTCACCTACATGCTCACTGTTACGTGAAAATAATCGTCATATTAAAGTATTATCGCCAATAGATAAGTCTATAGCTCCAATATATTTTCTCATAAACTGGTGGACACTTTGTGTTATTTTTAGTTAAACCCTACTTTTATTACTACATAAAATCGTGATGACTACATGTTACTCATTAACACTTTGTGTTGAATTATTCTTTAAAATGTTAGACAGAGGGCGTCTCATAAATAATGTCAGTTTTCAAGTGTGACGGATGATGCGTTTGTTTTATGAGTTCTTATCGAAGAAATGTCCACGTTTAGTTACCTGAAAACAAGTTCTCTCGCAGTAAGACGATGTTAAACCACATATTGCAAATGTTTCGCGGAATATGAATAAAAAAAGTAGTTACTATTATACTCCTTTTTGAACCACTGAATCATACCATTGAATCCTTTTGTAGGCTTTTTTTATTATTAAAAAAACGATGCTATATTTAAAAACAATTGATATCACAACATGACATTAATTTTTTTTATTCTATTACTTATATTAATTTTTAAAAGTCGCTTATAATGTTCAATAATGTTAAAAAAGTTATTTATGTAAGTTATGTAAGTTAAAAAAGTTTATTTTCTTCCATATATAAATGTGAATGAAACGACTGAAGGTTATTTTTTATATTTTTATTTACGACATTCATAATTATTTGGTAACTAAATATCACAATCAAAACGGAATCACATAATAATATTAAAATATAAAAAACAATAAAAAGTGAACAAAATTAAATATAAATCAAAAAGATAAAAGATAAGAAATATTTTATTAAAAATTCAAGCTCGTTTGCAATGAACATTAAAATTATTCATTCATACAAATTGACTAATACCATTTAAATTTCATATCAAAATAAGATGCTTAAGTGTGTGTTATTTTATTATCACAGTGTATAGTAACAATACAGCTTCAAAAGAAAATAAAAAAAATTATAAAAATATTAAGTTAAGATTAAAAACTTTATAAGGTATAGTTTAAAAACTTAGTTTTGATATAAGTCATCAGTCTATTACGTTGTCTGAATTGAAATTGATATGACTTTAAAAACACTTAACGGGTATAGGAACCTTGATATTCAAAAGATTTACATGAACGGTTCTCAATATTAAAATCTATTAGTAATGTGTACTTATAGAAACTAAATTAACTGAAAAGAACGAATTTTAATTCCATAGTACATTTTTTTAAGGATTCGGATACACATAGCATATACTTTGCACGATGACTATGACTATTAAATTTTAAAATATTTATGGAGTATAATGCCAATCCTCTATTATTGCCTAATTTTTTAAACGATTTAATCTAAAATACACGAAAAATCTTCCTTGATTGTGGAACTCTTCCTAAATCTTAATAATAAAGAAGCATTTGTAACCCACTGTTATATATTTTTCTTTAGTTTAAACCGTTGTTTTGCTCGAAGCATTGATATCTCCTATACTTTTCACTCGTCTGTGACGCCTTTGTTTATTTCCGTCAGATGTTTCAGGTAATGGTGAACTCACTCGATGAGATTGATCTACTTTTTGTCCGTAGCTGAAAAAAACAATTATATTATTTTTTTCTAGTTATATACTGTTTTAATTGTTTTGATTTAAGTCTCTTCATTTCCAAAAGCCAATAAATTTTTGCTTACCGGTGGGTGATATTATAATCTTTGCCATCATTAAGGCGCTGTAGGCTATCTTTTGTGGATGCGCTAGACTGGGAATATAAACTCAAAGGAGTATATATCGGTTCATATTCTGCTAGTGTTGGAGGTGGAGCGTATGTCATACTCAATTGAGACAGCGTCCGAACTGCTATAGGAGGTGAATAGGATATGTACGGTTGTGTCAGACTCATCACGCTAGAACTCTCGCTCGAACTTGATGGTGACGGTCTATCGTGCTTCGGCTTAAGAACACCCAACGCTCGTGTTATAGAACCCTGTAAGCAATAAAAGCTTCATTATTGTTGCGTTTCTAGTTGTAAAGATAAGGTCTTGGTTTTATTATGAGGGGTAAAAGTACGTTTTGGTGCTGTTTAAAAATCTCATCAATGATTCGGGCATTGTGAGAAGGTTAGAGTTTCTAAAAAACTGAAGTGCACCTTTACAAACATAACATATTTCATAACAGCTTGGGTTTTTGAATAATTCAGTGCTGTTGGAGGAATTAGACTATAAAAGAAACGGTAAAGTGACTTAAAAATGGCATCCAATATGCATTCTCTGTATAGTAACAAGAGAAGATGTATTTCAAATTAAGTTATTTTTGATTATTCAATACCATTTCCAATTTTGAACGCAAAAGACGGTATAGTCAGGACTCTATAGGAATTATCAATGGTGGTTATATAAAAGAAGAGAGTTATAGTTTTCTTAGAATTGAACAATCGCGTTTTTATTCCAGCCATATTCTCTAAGGGAAGTTTGAATTGTTCTCACAGAATACATATGTTTTTGCAATGTGCTCATTCGATATTGCGTCAAGTGCTGTAGTCGCGACAGTTTTCTTTGTTACAAGTTGCTTAATTTCGAAAGGAAATGTAAAGCGTCACATATGGTTTCAAGCGTCAGTGTTTAACGTTTTTTGCTCATAATATTTATATATTCTGTTATTACTTAATATCGAAGAAAAAAAATAAATTTAAAAAGTCTAGAAACTTCATTGAAGTTCATGGTACTTTTTATCTATTACGCCTAGTATTTCTTGGTTTGATTTGAGCATAATAGATAAATAAATAACCAGTCTGAGGTTTAATACCAGCTTACCGAAAATGTTTTATGTAATTACAATCAATGGATATATAAATGCAATTGAGCTGTAACGTTCTATAAAGAGATTATATGTATAAAACACGTTTCGGCTGTTTGTTTGGCGAATATGGATTTGCGTCGGGTCAAGGAGAGCGATTGTTTTGAAATTCAAATCGAGAGTGTTAGTCAATGGGCTTAGGTTAATGCTGGGATATGGTCGAAAAAGCAGCAAAATATTTATTTTTGTCTAAATTATATTAAATGGAAGTATCATTGCCTTCTATCTTGTTACGAGAAGTAATTTTATATATGAAAAAAAAACATGTAAAAATATCTTACCCTCAGACTATGTCTTCTAGAATCAGCACTAAAGTCGATTCCAGGCAAGCCTGTCGCAACCGATCTCGAAAACGGTCTTCCCAACATCCTTATTTGGTGACCAAACATATTCCTGAAAATGACCCATGTTAAATACATTACTTTTTATATGTACAAATTTGAGATATTTTCAGACACTAGCCAGATAGCAGTCAGCTTTAAAATTTCATTATTTCACCCTCAAATTTGTACTAAATTGCAAAACTTGCTAACACACAAAAAAGCAAACATGCACTTTCTATTTTGTTTAAGTACTGTAGATATCGGAATACATAAAGTTGTTTGTGAAAGGGACGATTTTTTAATTATGGTATTCTAACTGAAGAGCTATTGGACTTCAAAAATTCGGCATAGACACCAAAAGCATGATGCACTTAAAAATAATACGAATCATGCTAATTGTGTATGATGACAAAAATGGCCTAGAAAAAAACTGAGGAAAACATTTAGAAATTTGTGGTATAAAGAACAATACTGATAAATGTTATTCTTTAATATACTCATTTAAGAACAAAATGTAATAACAGTATTTTTCTTTACTCTTTAAAACAATAACAACCAGAATGTCTAAATTAAAGTAGACAAGCATAATATCACTGTGTTCGAAATTAATATGGATCAAAAATAAATCAAATTTATTATGGAAGAAAGTTGACGGATAGAGTGGACAAAGGCCGAAAGTGCGTTCTAATGATGATGACAGAGAGGCATTCATGACGTATCGATAAAATGGTTTACCGTTCTGTCTCGATGCAAGGATCGCCAAGTTAGGGGTGATGGTTAAGAAAAGAAATTGGCTCGATATCCCTTTAGGTTTATCATTTATAATTTATTCACATTTATATGTTTTAATAGTATTATTTTAAAACTAGTACACCGTTCTCAACTTTACAATATGAATGTATACAAGTCAAAAACATAAGTATCTTACAGTTTTAGTAAAAACTATTTATTGTTATAATCCTAAAGCTATTGTGAATGGTTCTGTTTTTGTATCTCAGAAATTTTACTGTATTTAATAACTTCATTATGTTTTAAAATGTATAAATTGAAATTCATTATTTGAAATATTCTTGAACTTATTACCAAATTGGGTCATAATACCCCCTATTATAAAGCATTAAATGCTTTGACATTAGCTACTGCGTATGTTATACATTTACTTAAATTACCAAAATTGATCTTGCTCGAATAACATTAAAGGTAACGTACTAGACTACGCATTGGAATATTTCGGGGGTCACACGGCGAGACATCAAATCTAACACAGATGAAGGCGAAGAGCGCGACAAGATATTGTATTGAAGATATTTAAACATTCCGTACGCTTTACTAACAAACCACAATCGTTACTATTACTTATCAGTCTTCATCGCTCGTAAAGTTTCAATAGAAATAATATACACGAGCAATTTGAAGAAATAGACACCTTATATGGTATCGCGAAAAAATATTCCCGTGGAAAAATAGCTTTAAGTATTTTCATAAGGTAATGTTACAAAGTTATAAAATGTTAAAGGACATCGAAGCGACATTTATTTCCTGAAGGAGAGCTTTTTGATTTTTTTGGATTTATCTTTGTTTTGTGGACAACATGGATGCTCGGGCAGCCTCCACTTGCAGTTCTTCCACCTGGCAAAATATCGTATACCTGCAGGATTGCACCTCATATTATAATTATCTACAGGTTGCATACCTACGGGATGTGACCGTGACAACGCAATCATGCAGTGCCATTTTGTGATTTTTGCACATTTCCTGTCGCAATTTGATATATTGCAATTGAATAATTGAATATCGAATAAATTATCTTTTCTCGTATCAAGGAGCACCGATGATTTAAATAGTTCGATTTAATACTGTAATTATATGCAATGTTGATACTCTAATAAAAGTGAACTATGGAAGTATAGGTTAGTCCTAAGCTATATCAACTTTAATATCTACCTCGCTGGGATGACAAGGGCATCAAATTCCGCTACCAAATGCCTTCGAATTATACTCTTCGACGGTGGTATGCCGAGCGCCGTGGCCATGGTCTCACCAGTGAATGATGGTTCAAGTACCACCAAACCACCATGGACACCGCTATCTATCGTCGCAAAAGTACAAAACCAATATTATATGATATTATAATACTTCATACATTTCATTCTAGAACTAAAACATATTTTTAATATGTATTTCAAACACAAGATACCTTTGAGATTCTCAGCAAATTCACCCAAGTCGATATTGTGAGACCAGCGCATAAACCTTTGATTGGTCCAAACCAGAGGGTCCGCATCGACATTTTCGCACTGATGCCGCCGTACAGCCAGTGCCTAACAGAAAAAATGCTTATATGAACGATATAGTTCTTGTATGTATAATATTAATATTCATATACAGGGTATTCCATACAATTAATGCCCAGTGAGGATAATGTTGACATTTAAAAAGAGAGCCCTGTTTAAAAAGAAGAAAGTATTTCGCAAAATAATTAGACAGATCATCAATTCAACCGAGTCCAAATAACACAAATCCCGGGAGATATACAAAATTTCTGAAGCATAAAAGGAAACATTGTGTAAAATGTCACTAATAATTCATAGAACATTATTACAAGTACCTAAAGGACAAGATGAACGAGGACAAATTTCGGTCAATGTCACAGTGGAATTCAAAAGAGCTTGAATAACAAATGATAAATGAGACTATGATTACTGGGGCAGCGGCTATATGAATTATTGTAGTCCCAGGCTTTGTTGGCGGAATTTTTTGTGCCAAATTTCACTACAGTCTGCTGTCATTCCATATTCAAAGTTAATTAATTTATTGGGATAATTTCAATTAAAAAATAGTATTATACTATAGTATTATATTAAGTGTATGAAAGTAATTTATAGAGTACAAGCTGAATTGCTGTTGTGTGTAGTTAAAGCGGTAAGTGAATAAGAAAATACACCCTGTAGTATTAAATGTTTGCCGTAACGTGTTCGCTGAGTTGACGCTTGCTCGAGGCTGTTTTGACTGTTTGTGCACGCCCTAAGAGGCTTCAGAGCCATTTATTTACTTTTGCTTTATCTTTCTTTCATCGTAAAAAATGCTGTTTATTTTACGAATTTAACTTACTTTAGGATAAAAAGAGACAAAAAATGGTTGTACTATACTAAAGTGAATTTTATTGAGTATTATTAAGTATTCAGAGTGAATCATTAAGTTATTATACACAATGTAAATATTGAAAAAATATCCATCATATTATATTTTCAGAAATGTTAAAGATTGTTGGTAAATTTTAATGAATAAATTAATTATTATTATTATATATTCAAAAAAGGAAAACATCAATTTATGCGTTTTATAATTAATTATAAACCATTGTTACTGATTGTACTTAAACACTCGAAAATCACTTCATTACATTAGTATGTATAACCAAAACTATTTAGAACACCAGAATACTTAACAAATTAATGAGTCTATAGTATCGACAAAGCGGATCGACCTAATTGAATTTTCACAAATCAGAGGACTTTTCGTTCTAAGTGGATCGAGGGCCAATTTAATAAATGATGGTCGCAGGAATAAAACTCTTGAGTACTTTTGGACTAGATGTGTTATAATATATAATTATTTGGTAAACTACGCTTTCAATTTAATATTCAGGCTCAAAGTTGACCAAAACTGTACTGTATAAAATTAGTTTTGACATTAACGAAGATTTAATGTATTTAAGCCTCCCCATCGGACTCTGGTACTTAAAACATTAAGGAGACCAAATAGGTTTATATACTTACTATTATATCGTGATATTCATACATATAATCATCAAAATAGATGAGATACTTGTACAGTCATAGATGCTATCAAGCATACACTTCCACCCAAACAATAACTTTTTTGTTTATTATATTAAGGTTCCATTGAAGATTTGACAAGTTCAAAATATTTCCAGGTTTCATCATATTATCAGTGCCGATGCACTTACTTGTCTATCGTATTTCATGATTCGTAGCAAATGAATGCCGTGGACGATCGATGCCTGATGGAATTTTCTCGTGACCCCAAGATATTTCTCAAGTTCCTTCTTGCTGATCGTATCCAACATTCTAGCATCCACCAGATTGGCTAAGAATGATTCTGCGTACTGGGGACAAAATAATAACTCATAATAGTGTCCACATGAACATCTGCAAAAGTCACAATCTTCGATAATAATAATTATCTTCTTAATCACATACTAATACTCTTGCACTGTCACCAAGCACATATTAAAAATCTGAGGCATACATAATAAATATAGTATGATAACTTACTTGGGACAGCCCTAGATCCGGCAACCACTCCGCAGCAACCCATGCATGGCTCAGCTGTCCGATGCTAGGGTTCCGCACGAGGTCCGGCCGCCGTCTCTCCTCGATGGCCAGCCGCAGCTTCTTCCTGTGCATTGGCTGAGTCACCCCCAACCCGACCTCAAGATCCGTGTCCGTCAACTCGAGCAGAACCTGCCCATTCAAAGCACGGATCTAGAAACAACCAGAACACAATATTTGACGCAATAGCGTCATGCTCTTTACCTAAATTAATAACTGTGATTTGTTTTTTTTTTTTTGTTAAGGATATATATGGAGCCCGTAGATAGATTTCATGTGCTAACATAGTTTGTTCTTTATAATACGACATCATTTTGTTAATAGTATTGTAATTGTATATTATTACTGCATTAGCGTGCCATACAGTACTAAAATTATGCCTAAAACATTGAATAACCTTAATCGCAAATGTTGGGTAGGTAAGAGGATTTCAAAATTCATTAATCATCAATTATACTTAAAAATTTGAAAATACTAGCAGAATTTAAATAATTAAGGTAGGTTGATTATTTTTTTTAAAAAAGCCTTTAATATTCGTCATAAATTTTTTTGTTTAATAATATCTTGTTACTTCCCGCTCAGAGAGCCGGGTAATGTGATTTTCATATAAAATATGGAGCACTCGATGTCAGGAGCGTTATATGAAAAACTCCCGATAGTGTCAGCTTTATGAGCTTTGGGGTTTCAGTATGAATTTTCAATATTTATATTATTTTTAGGACGGCGGCAGTAAGTAAACGAAAAAATATTGAATTTTTAACAGAAATGCATGTTTGATATATAATATATGTATATATCTATGTCAAATGATAGACTTTCATAAAATGTAGGGTATAATAATGTAGAGATCTCATTCTCGAATCGTTGTAATCAATGAGTTTTGTCACTAGAAATACGTCACAAATTTTAATTCAAATATTTACCTCAAAACAACTTAGACTAAATTGTTGTTGTAAAACAAAAAGAAATATGATATTCCTGTCTTTTTGATTTCATTTTTGTATTCTAAATATCAAATGGGTAAGTGATTCTAGGTTTTAAATAAGGAATGGTATCAAATATTTGATCCTGATATAAAATTGCAACGTCTAATATTAATAACACGGTAGCATTACGGACTGATAACGAACGTGATTTAAATAAACAAATAGATCGATAAATCTATCAGGGGACTTTGTGACGGAACGTAATTTACATATAAATGTAATAAAATTGTTATTGTGAATAATTTTGTACTGGTCGTATATTCTGTTTAAATGTTACGATTGATAAAGTATTATATTAGAATTTGTAACGGAATAAAATTTTATTCTTTACGAGATCATCATTTTTATTTGTACTAGTAAAAAATATTAATATTTTTTACTAATTAATTATTAGCATACTTACCTCATTGAAGATCTTATGCTTAGTACGGACTGAAATGCGTGAAAAAATTAATATAAATATAAAATATTGCTAACCTTTCCACTTTTAACATTATCAGCAACAGCAGCTGCATATTGCGGCATGCCAAGAGCAAGTTCAAGCCAGGCGATGATGGCTGGTGCTCGCCATCTTGATAGAGGTAGAGAAGCAGCTTCGCGTAATGCTGCCTCACTGCCTAGAGGAGACCAAGCGCGACTTGTGCTGCCTGTTCCGGCGTATATTGGCTCTATTGGAAGGTAAAGTTTTAGCTTCGAATTAGACCAAAAAAAAGTATTTAGACATCTCTTGACATTCGTTTTCAAATCAAAATTTACCGCTCTCGTGACCACTACTGGCTGCGCTACCGGACTTAGTGCGGTGTCTGCTTCGAGCAAACACGCGAGATATGGATCCCCAAGCGGATCCTCGACCGCGGCCGGCCTTGGATCCCCCAGGCCGAGACCGCATCCCTACCATACCAGAGTCGCATTCCCCCGGACTTGATAACTGCTCCACTGACCTAGAATAAACCTAGCTATATGACTTTCAAGGCTATATAACTGAAAACAAAGTTCAAACGAACCGAATGGATTATGTTTCCATATTTTTGCTAAACGATCAAAGTTTTAATGTCTTTGATGATAGCCAAGTAATAAAATGTGTTTTATGATATTTCTATAATCAACGAGAATAGCTTTTTTTTACTATAAAATGAAATAGTTAATAAAATATCATATCATTTTTATAAATATACATTTCACTGTGAAATATCTACTCATCATTTGCAGTTGTTAAATTCGCCTCCGGGAAGTTCATTTAAATTCAATTTAGCAACGTTTTAAAGTGCATTTTGTTTTTTTAACGCTCTTCCCTGGAATTAATAATTTCGCTTAAAATATTTTTCATCACGTCTGCGCACATAAGTACAGACTGATTCTTTATGTATAGAACATCAATTAGGATAAAAGATTTCGCTCTGATGAAACATTTTAAATGTTCTGGTAATATTTTAAAAAAGATTTAAATAGACATACCTAGATAAGGATCCAGCATCAATAGATCTTGTGAAAGATGAAGCGCTGTTATGTGGTGAAAGAGTCGGGCTACAGTCACGTGGCGTACTTACTATGGAAAAAAAAGATTCGTTCGCTTCACTTATTATATTAAAAAGATTACAAAAGAAGATTTAAGGTTTAATGAAAAGAATGTAATTACTAGTATTAGTACTACTTCAATTAATAAAATTTCCTAAGACTATTCCTAACCATCTTATGACGTATATTCATAAGAGATTAACACTGAAGACCACTCATACAGAGATTATCTAGGTAACCATATATTAATACATAAAATAACATTTTTGAATTGAATTGAATTTTAGCTCCGTTATTTTTTTTTTAACTTTCATTATCGTTAAAACTTCTTATCCCAGCATCGCTGCGAGAAAATAAATTAATTTTTCAATTATAACAAAGTTGACTTAGCCTGCCTAAACATTTAAAAGGTCGACTTTTATTACAAGCTCCTTAAAAATATATCTAAATTGATTTTCAGAAACCGGTTTCCCCACGAACGAGACCAAGTGATTTGTGCGATCAATTTATGAAAATATTTTTGTTTACTTTAATCAAATCTCATTTTAAAAGGATACTTGTATAATTTTCTTTTCAAATATAATAGATTAATAAAGTATAGGTGAGAGATTATATAGGTGAGAGAGATAAAAACTATTGAACTATCTTCACTATGAGAAATTATATAATGAAATTTAAAAAAATGAGAACATGTGTATTAAAAGGTTATAACTAATAACATAATATCGTAATGAGATTATTAATAAATAATTTATTTCATGTTTCTTAAAACACATACCAAGTTCATATACTAGAACACGCATAAAAACAAAAATCTATTCAAATAAAGCCAAGTAAAATAATTAATGAAATTAGGATTCAAATAATTTACAAACAATTCCCATTATACATTTCGAAATCCTATGCAAAATACTGTGGAAGCGTTAAAATGTAATTCATTATTAAGACAAATTACTTACTCAATTACTTTTTTGAAGTATCGCTAAATGGTAAAGACTTTTATCTCGGGAGATTTCAATTTACACTTTAACAATTGTTACGAACTTTAGGGAAACTTAACCAACTAAAACAAGTCAAACGTAATCTGAAAATTAAATCTTTTTAAGCATAACTTCTTTTATTGTATTTTGTGATCGATATAAAAAGCGCCTGAGGCACTTGGAGATTAATTAAAAAACATCCAAGACACGTCTTTCAATAATCTCGTTAGCGTGGACGTGTTTCTTGGGGTAAAATGTAAAATTTTTCCTTAAAATCGTTCCATTATGGTTAAGGTTGTTATTTTGCGTTCATTCGTTCACATTATTTGAAACAGGTTTTCGACGAGTTTACTTTATATAAAAGCTTTTCCTATTCAAGCGTTTAATTCATTTTGATAAATAGATAATATAAGAACATTATTTCGATTCTGTTTATTTTGTGTTACACTTAAATTTACCTGTGATATATAAATTCTTTAACAGGTAAATTGAATTCGAAGGTAAGTTATATCAATACGTACATTGGTATACAGGGTGCGCGGATGACACCAATGATACAGCATCTGTATCGTATGGGTCGAGGGTGGGAGGCGCGCCCTCTGCGGTGGAGTCTGATAGGTTTCCGCCGCAAACCGACGTGGCGCCACCATCGCTGCTACCTGTCACTGACGCGGCTTTATTCAATTATTCCAAATTTAACATATGCCGTTTCTGAATTAAGGTTGATGAGTTCTATTTAGGATATACTTGATGGGTTCTACATGGTTTGAAATCTATGGTTAGGATGGCATTTATTTTATAACCGGAAAATTTCTTTATTCTAGAATATAATTTACATGAAGCACTCAAAGGCTATTTGCTTATATAATTCAATTACAGTGTAAATGATTGTGGTTAAAAGCGAAAAGTGAGGATAGCCATGTCAAAAAAAGGGTTAAATTTAACTCAGTAATAGAATTGTAGTAACCTCTAACTCCAGAATCTGCGCTGCAGCTACCTCTATCACCCATCAAACCAGTAGGACCTCCAAGCATCATTGGAGGACCGATTCCCAAGGAAGCCACACTCTCACCTTCGGACAAACATCCCGCCGCTTGTAGTTGTCTTCTAGCCTAAAGGGAAAAGTACTTGGTAAACTATGTTGCATCCGATCATACTCGTATCTTATCCCCTAGACTAATATTAACAAATACTCACTAGAAAATATTAGACAATTTAGGCTTTCATGAAATAATAATAAAAATATCATTTCATGAACGTAAAAGTACATTCAGGAAAGGTTTTTCATTCAAGTTGTTAAAATTTTGGACCACTTTAAAAAGTTTGCTTTGGTTATTTTAGTAAAAATCCTCCATTATTCTACAATGTGCATGTCTCAATATGTGTGTATTTTCTAAAGTGGATATATATTTTTTGTAAATACATTTTGTATATACATTATACATATATGCAAACTCATTGTGTACATGTATACGAGTGTCACGACAATCAATCAAAAAATCGATTTAAATCATTTATGACAAATTTAAAATGATTATTTTTTGATGAAATAATAAATTTTCTATTGTAGAAAAAAGAATGTACTTTAATGGCTTACTTATAATAATTCGCAAGATTTTATAACGATCATTCTTTAACGATAAAAAAACAAATTGGCTTTCTCATTACTATAGAGCGAGTAAGGATTATCAACATTTTAAACATACATTAATATTAAAATCTCGCTAAGCCTTAACACTCGGGATCTAATGCAAGCGAATAATGTATTCATTAGACATTTCCCAAGACAGTTACCCGTTGATTGCTCAAATACATCGGCTGTAATTAAATATGCCACATTAGATATAATATTTGTACACATTATAATACTGAATTAATCCAAATATTTGATATTTACATATATTTTTGTTCCCAATATTTATTATACCATTTATATAACCGGGCTTTATTATATTTTAGCTATCGATAATTCATCGCTGAACGCTAACAAAGCCGCACAAAGTGGCTATAATTTTCATTTGATCGCGTAAAGCCTGTAAAATGAGGTTACCGTGCTAGTTATAGAAGCTTTTTTGTGTAAAGAATACGTCTTTATTTATAACAAAGATATTTAGTTTCAATATTTTCATATTTTAACGAATCTAATAAATATTTTATTAGGATTTAGTTCGGAATATTGTATCATAATCTCTCTTAGATTATCGGGTGTATTATACAACATATTTTTAAAAATAATATCGAAAATATAAATTTGGTTGAAGATATATTTAATTGTATATGAATCATGACAGTTTCCAATAACGTATTCCTTTATAATTCATATAAGTTTCCTATAAAAAATACATTCATTTTATCGAAGTTTATTTATTCCGTCTGTATTTTACGATACTCGAGTATTTTCAATAAAATTTCATAAAATGTAACAAGTGAAGCCCAAGCATACGAAACATTTTCCTGAAACACGATACCAATACGTGGGAACATTAATAATATCGTATACACTTTATTTTATCTGTTTTAACACACTGTGTTTTTGTTAATACAAAAACACAGTGTGTTAGTAATACTTAGAACCAATTACGGTATATTTTCATCCGAATTATAAGTAATTGAAGTAACGGTATGTAAAATTGATCAAACATATCTATTTTGTAATTTGACCTGACCTAATTATACACTCTGTTATCGGGAAACAGTTGTTCTTTATATTCCCTACCGTTTTCATAACGAGTAATTTGAAATTGTAATTAACGCCGCATGTCGGTGATGGATGGCAGAGGGTAGATTGAGTCTTATATATTACGCTTGTATCGTGGAATAATTATTACCGTTCTTCTTATTTCCTATCCGATAAAGAAAATTCTATGTCGATATTAACATAATTTTGCGATTTTCTTTACAGTGTTCCATCGAATAAACGCTATATTTTATCCTGTTTCATTATATTGGCATGCTTAAAACGATATTCATAAACCTCTGCTATTATTATATAGGAAACAGAATGATTGATTAGTCTGAATATTTTAGGACTATTAGCTCTTTCAACATAGTTCTCGAAGCAAAAAAAAAAATCTACTATATCTACATATATTTCGTGAAAGAAAAACTTAGCCTAGTTCATTTATAAAGAATTAACGAAGTATATATTTGGGACGGTGAACTTTTAATATTAAACATTGCTTTCTAAGGTCAGATGGTCTAATGATTATAGTTTTTCCATAATAAAAATAACTTACTACTAACTAGTAGTTTTATAACTCTTAGTATAAAGATTTCATATCTCAAAATAATAGAACGTTCACATTATATTGTTCGATTTTGATAAAGAGCACAAGTTTAATATTAGGGGAGCAATATTTTATAAGATTTCGAGAAAATTTAAAATATATAAAAATAATACTTAAGTACCAAGGAAATACATATAAACCGAAATAGTCTAATATCACATTTATTACCTATGACTTCGATTTTATAATGTAAAAAAAGTGAAACAAAATTTCGGATACTAAAATTATTTTCACGGCTATTTATATATGTATTTATTTGTATAGATGCTCAAAATATTATAGTAATTAGTTTTATATTCAAACAAAAGCAGACATGACACTAGAAAGCTGATGGATCTATTGTAATTCATAGCATCAAATTCATTTCCTGAGGGCTTTATATGCTTGACAGCAGCTGTCTCTTAAGAATACTCATTTTATTAATATTTGATGAGTGAATATAGTCCGACATTGAGATATTACGTTTCCGCATACACGTGCTTCAATATCATTAATCGCACTGAAACGAGTGATGTCCATTATTTTGCTCCATCCAAGCTTAACGGGATAAGTTTATAAATAATTTGTGTTGAATGCAATTAAGGAACTAAATTAATTTATTTTCATTTAATAATTGGTTTATTAAATACGTGAGTTTAACATATAAAAATTTACTAGAACGTAATATTTTTAGACTGAGAAACGGGTACTTTTATTGATCATTAAATCAATTATACCAATTAGTGGGTACATAATTTCCTCTGACTTATACCTTTTGATCATAGATTATAATTCAATGTTCAAACGTTTCACAACATAGCTGAGATGGTTATCGAGATTCCATTGGCATTGTTCCTTTAACATAGTTATGTTAGCTTAATTCCAACATTTACAATGTTATATGAAGAATTCTTTGTACCTTATTAACATTGTTTCGTAAATTATTGACATAATAATCGTTAATCTTGTTATTTTCAGTTTACCGTAAAAGGTGTTTTTATATATGTACCCGATATTGCGGAAAAATCTTTCTTTTTATTAAACAAGAATATACTTTTAACTTGTTGGTCGAATTTCATGGAAACTCTACCTAGTTTTTTAGTACTGTAAACCTCACATAGGTAGTTAAACGTATATCAATTGAATTTATTGAAAATACCTCAAAAAGCTGTTCCCTAGCATGCCGCAACTGTGTATCACGGGCGCTGAGTGCGGCCGCCAGTTGTAAAGAGCGCTCTGCCTCGTCGCGGGCATGCCGCAACAACGCCGCACGCTCGCGTTCCCGCTCCGCTCGTTCTGCACCCAACGCTGATGAAGCACCGCTTCGAGACCGCATCTTTGTTATATGAAAAATGTAACGTGATATATTCCTATATTCAACCACATATATTTTAATTTGTACTGAATAATAACATTATTGAAGCCCATTTTAAGTTTTTACATTTTTAAAAATGCCAGTAATATATTAACAATATCTCATAATTAAAATTGTAAAATTTTTCAATAATAAGAGTGTTTAATGATTTTAATTTCCACTCAATGTTGTTCTCATCAATTTATTTAACAGTTATTTGAATTATTATAAAGCTGAGAATAAAATATCATTTTTACAGTTCTCAATTAAAATCATCCGTTTACCAATTTTCATATCAAACAATAGCCGGGACGTATGGTTCGGTGGCAATTAATATTCATTGTTTGTTTAAAATACCTTCATTCTTAATATTTGTATATACAAATTAAAATACTATCTGAATAGAAATATTTACAACATCTATAAAATCTGGCTCCAGAATATAGAAGCTTATATCTTTTGTACATACCTGTTCATAATTCCTGATGAAATCCCTGAGCTCCTTCTCTTTGTCCTCAAGAGTGGCGTAGAGCTGCTTCATTTGATTGAGCAAATCAAATTTCTCCGCTTTAAGCCGTTTCTTGTCGGCTTTGAGAGCTACAATAAAAGATACTGTTAGTATCCCAAACTTTTCTATCGGGTGCTCTATTCATTCCTCTATTTCCGTACGAACGGCCCCTCTGAGTATAGTTCTGTCTAAATATTCCCCGATTTTATACGGTTTAGTGCAGTGGAATATATCTTATTAATATTTCCTCATAAGAGTATCAGTATTCAGAATAGGTTGAAAAATATGACACTCTTGACTTTTCCGTAAATAAATACCAAATAAAGAATAAGACAAGTTTACAGAAGCTTTTTTATTCAGAGGTAATTTTAAGCTATTCATAATTTACTAATGTAATCTATTAAAGCTAATGCGCTTAGTAGAGTATAATGATGATAATGGGCTTTATATGTATAATAAGGCGACAATAAGCTTCGCTAATTGTTAGACGGCTAGTCGAACGATTAGCGAAGCTTACGCGCTGATAAGCGCCCTTTGATCGGTGCTTCATTGAGCGCATCCAATGACTCTCATGTCATATTCAACCCTGTTTAAATTCCTAACAAGATACAATTAATCATGTCCAGAGTTATAAATAGTAGTATTACTATGACAAAAAAAACCTAAAATCCAAACTATGGGAAAGAAATATTAAAATTCGAAAGAACGGCGTGAATAACTTTCAAATTAGTATCAAGCGATATAAAAAGTAGTTGTTTTAATTACTGAATCAATAAAATAGCTTTGTCAGTTCAAAATTATTTAAAAGTACAACTCTAACAGCTTGTATGGTTTTTAGAAAGTCAATACACATTAGAACTAATTGTATCGATAGACCTAACCGAACGACATATAGTTGTCAACGTCAATTCATATAAACGTAGTATCGAAAACTAATTCTGAATTTTACTACACGATAATAAAGTCTATTTTGATTTCTGCCAATCTAGTGTGATGGCCATGGGAGCTCGTATACCATTAATGTTAACGTCAGTCATTACACTCGACACATAAGGTAAACCATTTTGACGTATAGGATTACAAAAATCCTTTTTATTGCTACCACAGCATTTTATTTAACCTGAGAACTTACATTCTATGGACATAGCACGTATAAAAGTTTATTACTAGGGTGCATCATTCATAGTTTTATTAAAACTTTTCTATGGTTGTATGAAATAACGATGATATTGTGTAGTTTCGGATATTTTACAAATTACCTTACGGTTGGATAAAAACAGTTTATATTTTTTGCCACTTTTCTAATTGACACCACGGAAAAAGAGTAAAACGACGGTCAAATTATTTCATGCATTTAAATAACCTATCATGTAAAAAGTTATAAGATTCTTATTTCGAAATATTTTTCAATTGTATAACAGAAAAATAACCGAAGGGGTTTCAGGATAACCAATATAAGGTTATTGGTGACTTCGATTACCGAAGAAATATTTTCTAACCGTCAGAAAAGTCAGAGGGCAACCCTCGTACGTGACTTGAAAACTAATTTACTATTGCGTTTAACCTGATACTCAACGAAACATTATGACTTTAGTTTATCAAACTGTCTGAATACTTTTTCCTATCGTGAACATGGTCCAAACAAATTGTCTATCTTCGTAGAAGCTTGCACGTTTAATTTGTTACCGTCGCGTCGTCTCGAACAAATTTATTTATTTCATGTCACGTGTTTTCTAAACAATATTTTCTTTTATATCATGTTAATTAAATATAAATTATCCTTTATAACAAATCCCTACAAATATTAAAAATACGAAAGTAACTCTGTCTGTCCATCTGTCTGTTACGCTTTCACGCTTAAACCACTAAACTGATTTTAATGAAATTTGTTACAGACATAGAGTTAACCTTGAGAAAAAACAGGATAGTTTTTATCCCAGACTTTTGAAAGTTTCTCTTGGAAACGCGATATAACCGAACTCCATGCGGGCGAACCTGCGGGCAGAAAGCTAGTTAACTATAAAAATACGTAATTTATAAAAAATATTTATGCAAGTTATTTGAAACAATAGATGCTACAAAATAAATGCGAAAGTTTCACAGAATGTATGGATTTTTGTTTCTCTTTCACGCAAAGACTATTAAATAGTTTTTAATACAATCCTTTAGCACTGTAACTTTGATATCAGAACAGAATATACATAGGTTAAAGTGTCTAGAAAAATGAGTGTAGTTATTGCATCATGCGTGTTGTATTGTATTCGAATTCACGTATAGATTATCGTCAAAGCTGCCAGTTGGTAAACATACCTTTTTTAGTGTTTCAAGATTCTTTACACTTGTTTACTTAGGTTAATTCTTAGGAATTTTACACCTAATAAATTGGAGATAAAATGAACTTACATGAAACAGCTTCTCTAGCAAGCAACAGCTCCTTCTCTAGTTGCTGAGGGTCAAGGGGTGGCCCTTCTGCATCGGGGGCCCTTTCTATCAACGCGTTACCCGCCTCACCCCTCTCCGCCGCAGCCACAAGTAGCCGTCGTACTCTTGTCAACTCCGCCTATATATAGCAAAAAAAAACCAAAATTAAAAGGTTGATAGTAATTTAGAATACACAAATGTTAATGTAAATAAAGTAAGGTATTTTTTTTTCTTTCATCATCTTTAATTTCGTTGAAAGCAACTCTCATTCACGATTAATAATTAATTTGTCAAAGTTATGCAACGACTAATGATGGCAATGTTAACAACTATGTCTATTGTACAATAATGGCTGTTGGCTTAAATATTTTAAATTACGTTTCATTAAATAAGATTACAAAATACTTCTTATACTCGTATCCGACATATAATGGCCTGTCGATGTTCAAGCGACAGCTGTAAATAGAAATTGGGACATATTTGGCTTTCAAAGAATACCAGATGTGCCAATACCATAAATAAAATTACCTGCAGGCGCTCATTTTCTAAGCGTAGTCTGCGCGCCAACTGAGCAGCTGTTAGCATTCCTGGAGATGCCGGTACTTCATCCTGACGGGAACGATCTGACCGACCTCCTGGGGACCCTGAACCTGTTTACCATTTTGATTAAATCAACAGCTCAGATACGTCTGAAGTACAAATCAATGTGAGTGCTATCCTGTGTTTAATTTAAATCAATTAGTTTTATCATTATTTACTACCAACCCACCTACAATGAAGATCAATTTATGGTTGTTTATTTTAATATTAAACGGTTTAATTTTGCCGTTATTATTATGTTAAATAATGACGAACTAGTGATGCGTGCAAAACTCTATCCAGTCGATTACGATAATTAACGAAAACTGATTCAGCGTATAACGGATAAATTTAATTAAACGTTAATGAAGCAACATATGTGACGTGTGGATTTATATCGATATAGATGAATGAACAAAAGGCCCGTGAAAAAGTTAACATTGCAATACAAAACTTCTCCCACTCAGGAAAGCCACGGGCCCCGTCCAGACGAATCGATTATTCGTTTTAACATGCGTCAGGTAGCAGGACGCAGGTGTGTGCGCCCTGATTTAATACGATTTATTCGTATCGACTTTGGTGATTAATTTTTTTAAACGTTTCCTCTGTTTTGTTCAAATAAATTCTTCATTGCCAACGTTTTAATTATCGCGTCAAAGTATTTAATTTTACAAAATTTCTCGGAATTATTTTTATACATTGTTTCCATCAATTTTTTTCACAAATACAGTCTTTCTTAATCAAATTCGGAAATTAAATAAAAGCTGGCTATAACTGTATACATTTTATAAAAAAAATAGTCAAAATTAAATTAATCACAATTTTAGACTTATATTCGAAGTAGTTTGTTGAACATAAATATTTGTGACATGTAAATACAACTTCTGTGCAAAACTAATTTGTAGTCGCTAATTAAAAAGGTAGCGAAAACTAAATGACAAATTGCAATATCAGACAGAAAGTTTCATTCTGCAATCTTTCGAATAAGTTGTGAAGTCACAAATGAGCTTATTCCCTGCGGCAACACGCTCATTAGTCCAGTTATTCCTCTGAGAAAACTTCTAATGTATAGAAATTTCCTTTCTGATAATCAACAAAATTAAAAGTGATTGCCTATAACTAATAAATAATATTTTTCTTCTATTTATATCTTAGAACAAATTGCTTTACTTGATAAAATAAATTAATATTTTAACAGTTCACTATTAATTTATGTTTAATCACTACTTTTATTTTGACGATTATAAACTGTTGCATAATAGAGTAATAGGATAACTTCATTCTTAATTAACCTACTGTAAAAGTGCACCTTTGTGTAATTAGTAATTTTGTCCAATAGTTTTTATAAAATTACAGCACATCGTTTTAGCTTCTGAATATTTTTATTTCAGCTGTCTATAAGACTATACCTATTATAAAATCCTATACCTAAGTCGATACCCTTATAACCCTTATAACTCAATATTATACTCATTATTACTATCTATTCCAGCTAAGCTAAAGAATTTATAGTTAATTTGAAACTTGCTTCATTAGTTAAACAAACTTGCTGACTAACTAGTTAGCAACTATTATCTTCAGTCCTATAAACTAAGTAAACACAGCGAAATCAAATTTCAGTCATTTATATTTGTGCTTTGTTTAAAATTAATCCTATTTGGGAGGGCTTTTATCAAGTGACAGTATAATGGATGGCACAGGAACAAGTCCAAAGATTTCGTAATGAAAGACATTTTTCACTTAATAATACAATGGGGTACAGTACTCAATTTGGAAAATGTCCCTATAGGCAACGGAAACAAAACCTTTTAGAATAGCAAAAAGAAACCTTGCTTTTTATAAAATATTGTGCATTTTTTTAAACGTACCTCCCTCAAGAGAGGCAGTAATATCAGCTCTGGGTTCAGGGCCTTCACTGCTCCTACCCGGAGAAGTAGCGTCTGGTAAAGGAACTTCTTCTTCAGAGCTGTCCGCTGGATCCAGAATATTTTTCTCACTGGTGTTACTGTTTGCTCCTGTCCCAATCTCAGCATAAGTTCCACTGTCGCTACCATTTTGAGTGGACCATTTGATCGGTGAATCTAATTTACCATTTGTTTGGTTTTCTTTGTTATCGTCATCTGGTGAAGAGGCTGTTAAAAAAAATACATAATCTTTATGTAAGTCAAAATCCGTTTCATGTAGTCTGTAAAATAATTAAAATTATTTACAAAAATAAAAACTTACCGATAAAAGGATTTTCCTTTCCATTTTTTATTGATATTCGAGCAGACCTATTCAATGTAGAATCTTTGTCCCCATTCAGCGAACTATTGCGAGGTTTATCAAGAGTGCTGATGAGGAATCTTCGTTCGGGGGGAATGGGTCGAGGATCGTCATTTCGATCGAGCGCAGAACACGCTGGAGTGATGAGAGGGTCTGCGGGCTCTGGTTCTGCATCCGCTTCTACCCTTGTGCCAACTGACACTTGTTCGTCCACCATCTTGCGAAGTTTCGCCTAAAAGCAAATCATAATAACTATTTTGGACTAATTCTTTTTAAAATGATATATTTATTTTAATATCTCTAGCAATATTTTAACTTTAGCATTGAAACTGCTTTCATACAGAATGATATTTTAGTATCAGGATGACAATGGCCGACTTTTCTTATTTAGGACTATCATAGCTCTTTGTATCGTGTTGAAATGCCCGCAGCAACATACTACAGCGAAATGAATCTGTTCACATAAAAGATATTTCATGCTATTTCTTCTGATGTTATGTGTGTTATTTGATTGTGGCTTTCTTTTTCCGTAGAAATTTCATTGTGTCGGGATATATAGAGGATATTCCGAGTGTAAGTAGCTTTGTGTCGACGCAATAGTTGAATGAAACAGGGTTCTGATGTACGGTATAATTACAGGTTATCGGATATTACATTCGCTGAGTTTGATTAAACGCAGGTAGCGTGACTTAAGCGTTGCAGATATGAACATGTCCAATTTCAATTAAAGGGAACGTTTTGTACTACTATATGTTATTACAGATGTATAAATAATTCCGTTATAATTGCAGTTTACCTATTCAAATTACGAAATCAATTTATTTATAACCACCCAAAACGTCACTAGCAATTTGTGTTTAAGTAATAATTCGGTCTTGTTATGTATGTACTATTTCACAAAATTGGGGAGCCAGGAACTTCACTAAATTGGGTTTCAAACCATATATTATATAACAAGGAATATTAAATCATAATTATATATTATTTCTAACTAATATCATACAACGTAATAGTGCTATTACCTGGGCGTCGCCTAATATACGGCGCACAAGCGCCATCAGGCCGCCGTGGCAAGCGATATCATGCTATCCACCTGCACCTCCCCGCATGGTCTTCAACTTAGACGGTGTACTAATTACTTCAGAACTATTCCACTTTGTTAGTCGCTACTCTGTGATTATAACCTGGAACAAGAGAAGACATTCAATAACAGAACCGATGCATAAATCATTAGGTCGTAGCATATTTAATCAATACGCGTCCCAAATGCTCATGAATTATATATAAAAACCGTGTTATTCGATAAAATTTTATAAGACTGATATGATTTTAAGGTGATTATATAATGTATAGTAAGTTTTTTAATTAAAATGCGCGCGTTGCGCTCGAATTAGGTCAACAATCTCGTTCTAGGGACGTCACCGTGTCATAAGACACTTTCAGCTCGTCATTTTTTTATTTAAATGTAACGATGTTGTGTCTTAACAGAAAGCAACACTTGTTTTTGTTAATTTAGTTTTGTGTGAAGGGTGGCTTATTTATGAATGCGACAAGATTTACAATGTAGTGTTAAAATAAAATTAGAATAGTAATATTGTTGCTAAACAAAATATTTTAATTTTAGCAAATGTTAATATGTATAATAGTAGCATTGGTGAGAAGTAAAATAAAAATGCATTTCGATATATGTATATGTGATAGCATGTATAGGTTTTTTCGAATAAATTTATTAAACCTTAAAAATCTGTTTAATATATTTCTTTGAAAATTTTGTAATCGGAACTATATAATGAGTATATTACGTCTGAGTAATCGAATACTTAGAATTATTTCTATTCACTTAAAATTTTATGTAAATGTGTGTTTATTTACCTACCAAAGAGAAAAAAAAACACTAACTCTCCAACAGACATTATATATGTATATCTTTGTTAATTACTATTTTGTGTAAGAGTTAAATAGCCGCCAGCGCATAGGAAATATTTTTATAAAAATACATACGAAATAAAATATTAAACATATGTACATATTTTAATTAAATTTATGTAAAGTTAGGAATCCTAAATTAATAAATGTGTCTCTACTATATCCTTATGTCCCAAAGGACAAGTTTTACAACAGAGTCATTTGTTACATTTCGCTCGATATAAACTGTCTCGTGGGAAACATCTGCGAATATAAGACCATTCTGGTTAAAAAACTCAAAAACATCGCCTGAATATATCTAAATCGAACATATATTTTTAAGTAATAAAACCAATTTTTTCTATTTCACATTTCCTTTAAGTTTTATTTATTATACTCGTAATATACCATTATTATTCCAATTACTTTTATTCTAATAAGTGAAAGTTCTTCATAAGTACCTTAACACTGCGTATTACTCAACATCACCGAACACTTTTATTGCCCCTTTATCTAATAGTCTGCTCAGAAAAAACAACATGGTCCACTTGAACGTGCCTCGTAATGTAAGCGGGCTGTTATGCAAATTACAAAGAATTTCCCCCTTTTTAATTTAAGACTGTTATCCTGACGAATATAGTTCAGGCGGACGCTTTAAGGCGGTAATTTGCGAAGGCTCACCGAGCCTCAATGATTGCCCACAAAATTGATTAAAATTCCGAAAGCGTAAGAGAAACGTCGACTGTGTGCTTTTTATTAAATCACGATGAAAATCTCTCTGCAGCGAGTTTACTTGTTTTCACTGCGATAAAGAGTTAATATATTTAAAGTTAAACAATCTATACTTGAATGCAATTAAGCTTTTCATGCGTTATACGATACAAAATTGACAGTTAAAATTTAAAAAGTAATTTATTATAACAAAGTCTCATATATTTTTTTTGCATATCAACGTACTATAAAGTTTATGATAAGCTGCACTGAATAATCCACAGTTAGTCGTTTGTCAGATAAAAAATGTAATTGCCCCGTCAATCATTCCCGCGAGTTGTATTGCAAAACGAGAAAAAAGTATTCACAATTTTTACCTGCTCGTTGTTATTTAATTTAACTTGGATTCAGGTCAGCGGTATACGAATATAATACGAATTCTTCTCATTTTAGTTAAATGAGTTACAATTGAATAAAAACTTTAGAGTCATTTACATTTTACATCTTTTCTCAACTTAGTTCGGGTATAAATATATATGATAGTCTCATCAGTCTAAAAACAGCTTAAAACATTCAACAAACTTTTATATACCTAAATAAATATAAAATGAATATTATCTATATTTCTAGATATATATAATTGTAGTAAGTGATTACAAATGTACCAAATACCCATCTCAAAATAATCTCAAACCATTGCGATTTTTCAAACTGGGTCAACCCACCTGAAAAGTCGCTCTCATTTTCTCGTACTTATAAAATACCATTATATATTTGGAGTTTATATTACCGAAAACTTCGTTTAAAGGAACAATGTTATTTTAATTTTTTCAATAATTTTTTTATTATAATTATTTCTGGATTAATATATCTGGATTATTCGAATTATTTTTATAGGAAATCATAGACGAACAATTTAAAAAATGCTGTTTCCGTATTCAAAGGTATTAAATAATAATATTATATGAATAATGATTACCATTAATGTACTGTATTATGTTTTAAACCAAAGATAAAGACATAAGTATAATAAAATAAAATGCTAACTGATGAAATCTATCAGTCATCTTCAACTGTATAATATAGCTCTAAATATACGTAAAAATAGCTTACACATGGAACATCACACATGTCTCCAAAATGAAATATCGCCTATATATTATACGGTGTGCCAACTCCCATCAAGAGACCGTCCTTCAAATTTCTGAAACGGAACTGTAAGCCTTTTATGTTAATTTTACACGCGTACAGTATAACATCAAAGCGATCTCGATGTCATTATGAATCAGGTCACATTTTAAATTTCCATAAAAAACTTTAAGAATAATGAATCGACCTCAATTTGCTTAACTAATTTTTATTTCTGTTTCAAGGTTTTTTATCCACTTTCTTTGTGATACTCGACTTATAGAACATCGAAATAAATAATGATATAATAATTCAACTTTAAGACTATAGTAAACAATAAATATTTTTCACTGTAGGCCAACTTCTTCCAATCCACCCTAAATTAACTTTTTCTTAGAGAGAAAATTTTAAACATTATTAACATTTTCTTGATTACATTTTTATAATTATTTTAGATTGTTAAAAAAAACAATTTAACGTTGCTAAATAAACCTAAATAACTTTGTTCGAAAATCTTAAATAAAATTTCATAAATATTTTTTATAAAGGAATGATGAACACAGTCCTAAAATTTCTATCTAAATTTACTTTTATTTTCAGAGCTTAAATTGTTTGAATTCTTAGAAATTTTATTTAAAAGAATAATAATATCGATAATAATATCATAACAATTTTGGTGTTCTCATAATTTAGTTTGGTGAAAAACTTTTGATTAATAAATAACCAAGTTTTTGTTAAAAATCTTCGTAAAAGTTGTCGTACCAGGAAGTGCTGGGCACTTTGCATTATAGTTATAGCGACTCATTATTTATTCCCCATTATTATAATTTAAATAGTAAAGTAGAATATTAAAATTTCCAATAACTGTAGTCTAGGCTACAATTTGATTAAGCTAATTCTCTTTATTTACCTCCGCATGTATTCTTAATAGATTATAATTTGAAATGAAAAACAATCAGAAAACAGAAGTGAGAAGCATTTTCATCTTTAATTATTATTGATACCCATAACGACATTTTAACAACGGAGCGGAATCGTTTCTGAATTTTTAACAACTCTAGTAATTATAGATCGTGGTAATGTAGACATTAGACCCTAGACCCTAGAGAGGGTAGACCCTAACATAGCATCTCATAATAAATGCAAATATTAATTACTTTTAATTTGTGATTTTTTCATAATAGTTATTCTTTAATATAAATCTTGAAGCGTAATGATTTTTCCTATATTATACTATATACATGTATCCTTAAAATCTTTTACTTATCACATCACAATATAAGAATAAATAAATAATATTCTAAATTAAAAAATAATATAAATATATTTCAAATATTCGTATAAGTTTAACCTCTGTATTAACTCCAACCCTGCCCAGTTACTTTACACATACCGTGAAATCTTTACACCGGCTGGAATTCGTAGCGTCCAGAGCTTTACCGAGTTTAAAACTACATAAAATACTTCCATACTCTTTTAAGCATGAAAAATTCCTTTCATAATTGCCTTTATTACAACAAATTATTTATTTTTATCTACATGATCATAATAAGTTAATAAAAACGGTATGCTAATAATAATTCATTCCTATTCTAATAATAATTCATTCCTTGATAGTTTTATAAACGGTATAACGAAATTAACAAGTCAATTAGTCGGTCCTTACTCACAAAACCGTTCCAATTACATCCAATTACAAATCCATCATACTTCGAAGTGGTACTCATATAACTAGTCCAATATCAGTTTGTGCCACAAAACATTAAGTAATTAAAACATAACTAATATATCATATCAAAGCACTACCGTATTAATTTTAAAGCGGTTAAAGGACTTGAATTTATGATACTTCGCGCTTTAATTAAAATTGTTCATGAATCGCTAACACTTCGAACGTTTGGGGCGACCTTATTAGTATTGGTAGTTGATTGTTTAAAATTAATTAACATATTTGACAATCAAAAACAAATGAGAAGAATCCGTTTGTTTTATCGGCGATGTTTTTTAATTACCTATCATTTAGAAATAATTTTGTAACTACATATAAGGTATATCAACAACGATTACTGCAAGACATATTTCGAACTAAACTCTGGTTTTATTATTCTTTACAAATTTTTACTCCCAACTCTACGCACTATCCTGGGAAATTGCAGCAAAAAGTTGCTAGTTTATTTGTCATAGCACCAAAGCTACGAAAATTTAACCAAATACCACAAATGTTTAAATGTCTCGCATCAAAGACCGAATGTGCAAACAAGATATTCAAAGTACGAGTGTAATAAGTACATAATTTATTTTATGCTCAGTAGAT